ATTTTAACAACCGAGACAATTTTCTGTCCTTCCTTAATTTTGAGAAGTAAATCAGTTGTAAAATTGAAGATTACGGACTAAATATACTTACAACAAAAAAAACAAAAGCGAAGCGGCCGACGTGTAGATAAATTACCTAAACGCTAATTATTTCTTATTTTTCAAATGCGGAAAACACATTCTAAATGTAAATTGCAACACGACCTAAGGGGCCTAAGTCAGAAAGACATGAATTAAATACACCAAAAAGCCGATTGAGGCAAGAATTTGTCATTTTTTAATTTTTTAATTCCGTAAGCCAATTGCAGAGACAGTTCTTTTCGCCGAATTTTCGACCGGAACCATTTTCTGTCCTTTCTTAATTTTGAGTGCTTCAGTTGTAAAATTGAACAAAAACAAAAGCGAAGCGGTTGGCTTGTAGATAAATTAAATGCTAATTTTTCTGACTTTTCTTAATTTTCAAATGCCGTAAGTAAACCAAATGTAAATGCAGACCGCATACATGGACTAAATCGAAAAAATAAGAATTAAATGCACCAAAAACAGTCGATCGTAGATAAATTAAATGCTATTTTTTGAGATTCCGATTGACACATTTTGTAATTTTTTAATTCCGTAAGCCAATTGCAGAGACAGTTCTTTTCGCCGAATTTTCGACCGGAACCATTTTCTGTCCTTTCTTAATTTTGAGTGCTTCAGTTGTAAAATTGAACAAAAACAAAAGCGAAGCGGTTGGCTTGTAGATAAATTAAATGCTAATTTTTCTGACTTTTCTTAATTTTCAAATGCCGTAAGTAAACCAAATGTAAATGCAGACCGCATACATGGACTAAATCGAAAAAATAAGAATTAAATGCACCAAAAACAGTCGATCGTAGATAAATTAAATGCTATTTTTTGAGATTCCGATTGACACATTTTGTCATTTTTTAATTCCGTAAGCCAATTGAGGAAGTGCATTCTTAATCCTACGGGGACAATTTTTAAACCGAATTTTCTGTAATTTCTTAATTTTGAGAGGTAAATCAGTTGCAAAGTTTACAATACGGACTAGATCGAAAAACCAAAAACGAAGCGATCGACGTGTAGATAAATTAAATGCTAAACTTTCTCTTTTTTTAATTTTCAAATGCGGTAAACGAATTCTAAATATACAAATTGCGAAACATTGAATGCTCCAAAAGACTGATTCGTAAATAGGTAGGTAAACTACATGCTATAATTTGAAAAATCGGAATCGTGACGATATTTTGACTTTCTTTAATTTTAAAATTTGTATGTAAGCCAAATAAAGGATTGGGATTTTTATTTTTCAAATTTTGACAAAGTTTTTTATCCTTACTTAAATTTCCTAATTATAGGTATATACTTTTCTTATAATTTTCAAATATTATAAACCAAATCTGTACTTAGATAAATTAAATGCTATTTCTTTAAATCTCGATTTTTTGCCATTTCCTAATTTTCAATGGCGGTAGTGCACGAAAAGACGTGAATTAAGTGCATTAAACACCCGATTCTTAGAAAAACTAAATTAAAATTCCTTGTATTTCCAATTGAGACCATTCTTCCTAGGTTCCTAATTTTCAGTAACGTAAAATATCTATAGAATGTCATTTGCAACGCGAATTAAATGCAAAAAACTGCCGATTCGTAGACAAATTAAATGCAAATTCCTTGTAATTCTTGAATTTTCAGAAAAAATCCAATTTGTAACACGAATTAAATCGAAAAATCAAGGATAAAATGCACGAAACTCCAATTCTTAGACAAATTAAATGTCAATTCTTTGTAATTCCAACATATGCTTAATTTTCTCCGATTCTTTAATTTTCATGCGCCTTAAAGCAATTGAAAGAATGCAATACGCACCACGAATTATATATCAAAGGAGCATAAATTTTCCGATTCGTAGACAAATTAAATGTCAATTTTAGATCATTCCAACTGAGATAATTTTTCTTCTGATTGCTTAATTTTTAAGTACCTTAAACAATGCAATTCTTAACACGAATTAAATCGAAAAAGCGAAAATTAAATGCACAAAACTGTCCACTCGTGAACAAATTAAATGCCAATTTTTTGTACCTCTTTTTTCATTCCTTAATTTTGGAGTGCCTTAAGTCATATGAAAAAATCCAATTTTTAACAAATTAAATCGAATATTAAATGCACAAAACTGCCGATTCGAAGACAAATTAAATGCAAATTTTTGCAGTTCCAGTGAGACCATTTTTCTTAATTTTTAAGTGACTTAAAGCAATAGAGAAATAATGCAATTCGCAACACAAAAATTAAATACACAAAACATCTGGTTCGTAGACAAATTAAATGCCAATTACCTATCTATAATTCCAAATGAGACAACTTTCCTCTGACTGCTTAATTTTCAAGCGCCTTAAACCAATCCAAAGAGTAGGTACAATTTTGCAACGCGAATTAAATCCTACAAGCAAAAAATGAAATGCACAAAAATGCCAATTCGAAATTAAATGCCAATTATTTATTTAATTTCAAACGTGATTTTTTGTAATTCCATCAAGTGAGACCATTTTTTTCCTGATTCCTTAATGTGCCTTAATTAAACCGTTTGAAAGAGTGCAATTCGTAACACGAATTAAATTGAAAAATCAGGAATTAAATGCACAAAACTGCCGATTCGCAGATAAATTAAATGACATTTTTTGTAATTTCAAGTGCAGAGACCATTTTTTCTGATTAGGTACTTAATTTTCAGGTGCCTTAAACCAATTGGAATAATGCAATACTTACACATTACATCAAAAAAGAAAGAATTAAATGCACAAAACTGCCGATTAGTAGGTGGAAGAATTCGTTGTACCTAATTCCAATTTATAGGTACCAAAGGAATTCTTCTCATTCTTTAATTTTCAAATGACCATTATTGATAAAATGCAAATTACAATGTGGGGTGAAATCCGAAAAGCAAGAATTGAATATGTAAAGCGACTGATTCGTAGATACATGAAATGTCAATTCCGTAATTACCTATAATTAAGACAATTTTCTACTCATTCCTTAATTTTCAAATGACATAAACCAATTGAAAAAAATGCAATTTGCAACGCGAGGTAAATTCGAAAAGCAAGAATTAAGTGCGTAAATTTATATGTACCTATAGGTAAATTAAATGCAAATTCTTTGTAAATCCAATTGGCGTAATTAATCCTCATTTTTAATTTTCAAATGTCGCAAAACCATTTCCCAATATGCAATTCCCAACACGATTTAAATCGAAAATGCCCAAAACGGCCGATTCGTCGATAAATTAAATGCAAATTTAATGTAATTCCAATTGAGGACCTTAATTTTTAAATGACCAATTAAAAAATTGCAATTTACAACGAAAATTAAATCCGAAAAGCCGGAATTAAATGCGTAAAGTGACCGATTCCTGGCAATTCTAATTGAGGCAACTTTTCCTTTCGTTCTTAATTTTCAAATGTCGTAAAGCAACTTGTAAAAATTAAGACTACGACACAGACCAAATCGAAAAAGCAAGAATAAACTGCAGGCAACGGTCGACGTGCTATTTTTTTAAATTAGGATTTAGGCAACTTCCCGAATTAAATGCCTATTCCTTTGAAATTCTGGTTGAGGCAATTTTTTATTCATAGGATATGCAGGTTTGTTGAATTTCTGTTTTTATAGAAAACCCAAGCATAATTCCTTAGCATTTTAGATCAACGTTTCCCTGGCGCCACTTCCTGTCCTGAATGAATGCCACACTTGGCCATCTATTCCTCAAGTATGACCTAAAGGCCTGTTGTTTGCGAAATAAGATGCATAAGACATTGTGGCGGAATTTCTGGGTATTTTTGGGAAAATAACGAGAAAGTAATTTTCTTTAATTTTCAAAGGTACAGATTGCACCGAAAAAGAAATAATTAAATGCCTACAACTGCAGGCGCTTATAAAGATAAATTAAATGCCATTTTTTGTAACTTCCGATTGAGACCATTTTTTACTAGTTTATGACGGCGATAGAAAAAAAACCCTGAATATGCCTACTTTCTAATTTACCTAAATGCAAGCAACGGCGAAAGGACTTGGGTGTCGGTAAATTAAATGCCATTTATTTTGGAAATTACGATTGGGATTGGATTGGGATTCTTTATTTGTTACCTACTGCACCTGTAGGACGCAGGACAAAATTTTACTGTGGAATATTCCGAGATCAAATGGCACTTTTTGAAATTAAATTCAAAACCATTATCTACTTCTTTGTGGGGATTTTTTTAATTTCCAGACCCTAAACCACATCAGACTACACCGAGGAATTAAATGCACAGAAAGGCAAACGTATATACACTTTCTTTATGATAGAACCAGAAGAAGAATATCTATGATGGAACACTTTAAATGTCAAACTAAATGCGTCAAAGATTCTGGTTATTTTAATTCTGTATTGGTAGGTAATGAACAAAACTGCGGCGGACCTCTACATCCTTCGGGAACACTGTTACGAATCCGTTGCGAAGAAACGGGAACTACACAAAAGCTGTGAAATTAAAGCCACAGGCGACATTATTGTCCGAAGTCGAAAACGGATTTTTTTAATTTTTAAAGTACACGAATTAAATGATAATTAAACTGTAGGCGTAAATTAATTAAATGCAGTTTTCCAATTCCACGAAATAACGGTCTCGTTCTTCATAGAAGATTAAGTGCTTGCAGTATCATTTCGAATTTTGAGTCACTATCACTTCCCGGTGATCGCGTTCTAAAATTAAATGCTGAGGATGTTGTGACTTTCACTCTCGATTACCTATTTTCCGAGGGAAAGCATTTCCTCGATAATTTTGGCTGAAGTATTTTCAAGATTTGACTTTGTTGGGAGAATTCCCGCTCCCTCAGAAAAAAATGTTTTTTTTTTTGGAAGAGGATTTTGGTGTTGCGGATTTCTCTGGACGCGGCGCGGCGCGTTATACGCTAGGCGTCTCGACCGTCGCTTAGTATAAAAATGGATTGAACTTTACCTGCCACTTTTCGTGATGACCATCTCCGTGCCGAGCTTGTGGAATTTCTCCCATAGGTCCTTGCCTTCGAGCGTCACCTTCGGGTCGTCGATGACGCCGTCCTCCTCCGGCTGGATCGCACGCAGCGGTCTGACCATCGCCGGGTGGTGGTTGTGAGCGGCGACCGCGGCCAGGACGACGTCCTCGGCGGTCGTGTACGGGTGACCGGTGAGCGGGTGGTGCGGGTGCGGGTGGTTGATCTTCGGGATGAGCGTGCCCGGGTAGCAGCCGTGCGGGTTCTGGCCGCCGAACGCGGCTAGCGCCGCCGCCGGGAAGTAGCCGGGCGCCGCCGGCGACGTGCTCGACGGCGTTGAGTTATTATTGGCGGCGGTCAGCAGGGAGCTAACGCTAAAGTCTGTTTGCCTCGGTAACTGCAGGAAGGGGTGGTAGGCCATCGTGCTTTTCACTTTGGTGTCCAAAGCCGTGTCGATCACCGTGTCGAAACGCATTTGTTTGGTATAATTTCAGCGGTAGCACCAAACCGCCACATCAAACGTCTAAAATTCAGTAACTCTCCCTTCACTTTTCCAAAGCGACGACATCGTCTTCGGCGACGCACAGCACAAAAATAGCACAAAAAACGCACAAACACAGTTCAGTTCATCACGCGCGCTTGTTCGAAGTTCGAAAGGGTGTCTTGCAAGATTTAGCCAACAATAGGGAAGCTTTTAAAGAGTGTGAACCTCGACACCTCTATTCCGCGGAAAGCGTAACCGAAGACTATAGAAGAAAGCTCTGGCGCCCAACACTCTGTGTGTTAATGACAGAGACGCTCTCCCATTGGCTCACTGGTGTCAGGACCGACGGCTCGGCCAATCACGGGGCGACATTCTCCCCACCCTTTTCACACTTGCGGTGGGCAGGAGTTAGCAGGTTATGCCTATGGAGGCGTTGCTAGGGCTTTTTGTGACGCCAACTTTGATGCTTTTTTTTTGTTTGGCTTATGTGGAGACATATTTCAGCCGGTTTTCCTCCTAAAGCTCCTTTTTCTACCCCTTATACTGCTGTTGCTCTTCCTTGGATCTTTTCGATTTCCCTCGTTATAGAATTACTTTTACCTTTTTATACAATATTTCAGGATTTAAGAGATAAAGTATATACTTAGGTACATATTAAGTGAGGTTAAAGGTGAACACGCATTCCGAAATGGATGTCGCTTTCGACGGGGTGGGGGGTTTGTGCGATTATTGGGATTAATACGGAAAATAATCAAGTGCATTTATTTGTGTTGATTTTGTGCGCGGAAAAGGGTGCATAGCGACGCCCTCTTTTGTGTGCAAAGTTCGGTACAATATTGACTTTTCAGCTTGAAATCGAATTAGCGGCGGTGGTTGACTTAAAACTTTTAATTAAAATTTAAACAAACGCTTCGATTGCGGAATCCCTCCGAAACGCATTTCACCCGCGCTGCGAAATAAACACAATGGGTGCATATGTGGCATTAGCCGTAATTGCAAATGCATTAATTAACTCTCGATGGTTGTCATTGTGTGCTCGGTATTCGATGCGATGCATTGTAATTTGACTTGTATATTTACCAAAATCAAATCGGTGTTCCGCAAGGATCTATTCTGGGACCCATCCAGTGGTATTGTTTAAAATTCTTTTTTCATGTACACTCTTCATGCCACAAATCTCAAAATTGTGTCTTTAGAACAAAGATGATAGATTACCTAGGTATACCTAGGCGCTCCAACAGTGCGTCGCTCATATCTCGTAAAAAATATAACCTTTTGTGCAAATATCAACTAAGTATAGGTAGATGGTTTGCCAATCTATCGAAATTATTTTTGAATGTACACGGTGTCTCATTTTTACGGTGCTAATAAATAACTGATTTCTTTAAATAGAACACCCTGTATATTTTCAATTGTTTCGATGTCATTTATTAACCTTTAGTACATTGAAACCTATTCACTCTGCCATTCTATTAATTTTTTTTTAAATAATACCACATAGTTTTTTGAAATTAAGAAATGAATTTGAGTAATAATGTTAGTCCGAGTATAGGTATAGAAAGCAACAATTTGATAATAACAAAGTTTAGGTACCTAACCAGCTATTTACTGCATAGTGTAGGTATTCCCTATTTCGTAGTAGCACCTAGATATAATATTAATTAAAAAGGGAAAAGATGAACTACGAAATAGCGACAACACTTGCAGTTCAAAAGTTATGGACAAAAAACCAATTTCGACAAAAAATTCAAAGGGCTGTAACTTTTGATCTAGTAGTCCGATCTTGAAACTGTTTGAAATTATGGATTCTACAGGCCACATTCTATAAGAAAACATTTTTTCCGCGGTCGATCTGAGCCAATTTTTTTTTCGGGGCAAAAAAGGCAGTGTATAACCTCCCTTTTTTACCAAAAATCGACTGCACCAAAATTTATCGCCGGGAAAAAACTTTTTCTTACTAATTTGGGTGCGTAGAATCCAAAACGATTCGTACTTTTTCGATT